ATCAATTCAGGTGAATATGACTGAAAAATTTCATTTTTTCTGAAAAGGTGGTGTCTATTTACTTGTGACCACTCAGTGTAAATATAATATGCTGATTGATATACGTGAAACTAGTAAACCCTTCAAGTTTTATCCTAACCACAAACCAGAGTTGTATGAAATAGCCACAAAGCTCTAATAAACTTGATATATGCTGCCATTGTTTCGTCTTCGTCATGCATTACCATTCCTTTAGTAAAATACACTTCGCTTTCAATATGTGAAGACCCTTCTGTCTTTTGTACTTAGGATAAGCAATTAAAGCAAACGATTGAGAAAAATCTTGTCAAAATTACATCACATGAAATGATCCTTGTTGTAAGTTTACCCTTACCCTACAACTCACATTTTTGTATTGTTTCACCTTGTCCCTAAATAATGAATTTGAATAAATTATCAATTTACTCATTTCCAGAAATCATAAGTAGAAATATAATACACCAAACAACATTACATTGTAGTTCACCACTTATCTCTGACATCAGTCCAAAAGTAATCAACACTTGGAGAAAACTTGATTTCAAATTCACCCCAAAACCTTGCCCTAAACTAAAATCATTACTAAATAAAACTTATACTGAATCACACAATACCAAGGGCGTTTATAAAATAAAGTACAATAACTGTCTAGAATTCTACATCGTTGAAATCAGGAGAAAATTTTCTCGGTTTTATACATAGAACGTTGGATGGGTGAAATGAACTCGTTTGTAACAAAGGATAGGAAATTGTGCTTCTATTCTTAACATAATAAACATTAAAAGTGCAATAAAAATACATAAACGTATCAATACTGGAAAGAAAGACACACTGTTTTCAAGAGTTCTATCAATATGAAATCATATGAGGGATCTAACCCCTCATGTGATCCTGTGTCAAGTTTGGTGCTGATTGGTCATGAAATGTGAAAAATTATAAGGAACAGATACACAAACATGCACACACACATATATATATAGTGACATTTATTTATATAGATAAGACCTATTTTATTTATTCACTCAGTTAAACAGAACACTAAACATGGATTCTTATAAAGAAAATTAACTTTATTATAAAACTTTTTTTTTACATATCTACAGTAACTTAAAATTTATCTTGCTTATATACATAGTCATATTTTGTACACATACATTGTTTACAATATTAAATTTTTTTACGAATCAACCAAAAATATTAAGTATATGAAATAACACTTTTGTCCAAGCTCACATACACACACACTAAAAAAAAAAGTCTTTAAAATAGAAACTGAAAACTAGGTAGATTTTCAGAAAAACAATATTTCATAAAATCATTGTAGAAGTACCACATATTTATGGTCAACTTTAGACTATAAAAGTGACGTAGGTTACAAAAAATTATGAATGAATGAAAATTAAAACAATAAATTCGTACTATTTACAAAACCATAACAGTTTGGTGCATATTTCTGGGATTTTTCTAAAAGCTATACAACGTTAGAATTTCCTGTAATGAAAATTAAAACCATATGTAATTTTACGACCAAGAAGGAGTTCAAATATTTCATTCCCATTTTAGACACAATGTAGAGGGGGGATAAACACTACGGTCCAAATTTTGTAGAAAACCCGTTATTTTAATGTGCGTTACTAAACAGGATTACTTACAAACAAATACAACGAAAAATACTGGGACCATAAAAACAATAAAAATATCAGGTAAAAACATATACAACAGGAGTTTGATTTTTTTAAGATTTTCTTTGTAAATATCAAATTCATTTTATTACAAACTGTACTAAGTTTGAGCATCACATATTTGTAAACTACATTTTGACACTAGTGTTTAGTGACACTTATACTGACACATCTGGTCAAATACCAGAACATTTTAAACTGATTTCGGTAAGTGTTTTAAAACGTACATCTGGTAAAATACCAGAACATTTTAAACTGATTTCCATAAGTGTTTTAAAACGTACATTAAAAAAATACTTGTATAAAAAATTACGAAACAAAACTAAAATAAAAATGTCCAAAACGTCTTGTTTTAAGTTTAGAACACAATATCTATTTCTGACTATCCACACCAATAAGGAAAATTTCAATACATTGATTTATTTTAGATTGATCTGGACTGATCTAACTGTATTCTAAATCAGTTAAAGAGTTTTTTGAAAGACTATTTTTTTTCACTCGGATATGAAATATTACTAATTCAACATTTTCACTTCAGGATAGTTTACTTAAAGAGTTTTTACCTGTTACTCTGCGTATCAAAAGTGAAGTTTACTTTAATAAAAAATATCAAATATAATCATTGTTTCAGGATTTATTAACACTTAAACACTGCCTATTCTTTTGGTAATGCGTCAAAAATAGAAAAATCTATGAACACATATTTAAAAGCAGCATCTAAAAGTAATTAACTTATCATATTTTTACTGAATCAAAGGCAATAAAAACGTAATTACAGTATTCTTGAATAAGCCTTAAAATATTAAAAAGATGAAATATTTTGCTCTTGTATCACTGAGCTTTATATTCATACTGACGATGATGTCCTTAAAAAGTGTAAGTAAACACGTATTCCTTACAAGTAAAAAATAACTATGTTTTCTAGATTTTATCAACAATGGACTAATAATACCTAGTTCATTTTGTTACTCTTTATATAAAACGCACAACACACCACCTTTGGCATTAACACTATACATGGCATGTTCAAGCTGCAGAAAAACGTGTGAAAATGGAACACTTTGAAAACCGATAATATGGAACATTAATTATATGACAAACAATAGAATAGTCTAGATATTATGACTTTCAATTCTTTATCATGTGCCTGAAATACAACAAAGAAAAATTCAATTTATAATATACAAAACAAATTATACTTGAAGTAAAAATTGGCATTTTATTCTTCGATAAGAAATGTAAACATAACAGTCGTATTTAAATAGGTTTGTAAGCATTTGTTAGAATGAAATTCCATTCAAGTGTGATAATATAAAAGTATAATGTGTCCACTAAAATGATTATATAACTGGGTGGGAGGTGATAACTTAAAATGATTATATAATTGGGTGGGAGGTGATAACTACAATGATTATATAATAGGGTGGGAGGTGATAACTAAAATGATTATGTAATTGGGTGGGAGGTGATA